CAGGCAGGTATAAGCTCAACACTGGCACATCCAACGGAGACCTTGATTAAGTTATAGTAGACATCAGCAGGCAGCTATAAGCTCAACACTGGCACATCCAACGTAGACTGTGATTAAGTTATAATAGACATCAGCAGGCAGCTATAAGCTCAACACTGCTGGGCAAGTGCCAGTTCACGAGCAGTTTGCAACCTGTCAGTAGAGAGTTATATATAATGCAAAGTAATATTCCAGCACCAGCGAATTGATCAATTCGGACACTGTAGGTGTTTATCTATATGTAGGTATAAATATTTGTATGTCCCGTGATGTGCATATTTTGTTTGTACGTAAACATTCGGGCCTTCTCGAGCTACTGCTAGTTTTACGATTGTAAGCGCTCTGTCTACAAAATTATCATGGCCAAATGGTAACGCACGCGATTAAAACATGCACGGTACGCAAAGTAGTGTATATTGCCTATGGTTTTACTGCTTCGTTCCGTATCCGTTCTATTAATAGACTAATACCCCTCTCGTAGCCCGCTACATCGGCATCGGTTGTGTCGTTACTGTCAAGTGTCACGTCCGCTGCTATACCGTCCAGTGCACACTCAGACGATGCATCATCCACTCCTTCCGTGAAGACCCAGCCTCGCCTTTCACGGGCACTCACAGGCGCCTACAATGAATATTATCACAATGTTGTCGGTTACTAGGAAGACATCAAGTGTTGTTATCCAAAGCTTTTGGTTGTGTTTCTAGTTGAGGCTTGAATTGTCATCGCTTGGAAGTGAGGGAGATTCGATTCGAATGATAGTCATAGGGAAGGGTGACACCAATACTATGCGTGCACACCCCACAACATAGACGTGTATTGCGACGCCGTCGTGGGCTGACCTAGCCACTCTTGATATGTACAAATGGAACTGTAAGGGTATATATATGATGTGCGGAATAGTCGATATACCAAACTAGAAGAGATACTTGTACTGGTGAGATGTATTGAACCTACTACTACGTACACTTTTGTCTCGATGCACTACACCCGCGTAACATACCTGGACACGGACAATCAAGGCCGGATATCTTTGCTGGAAGTACTCGATATCTGTAAGTCTGCGAGCATCGGTGACTACCCACACTGGCGCGCCCGTTGCTAGAGCCTCATCTGCATGACAAACACGTAAACCGATGGTAGCTTAATTGTTTGGCAACAAAGTATACATATGCGCATAGCAAATGTAAACATATATTATGTACAGCTGAGCTGAGTACAGTGACGCTAGGTCGGTGATCACTTTTATATTGTCTTATCGCACTACATATTATTCATCCATCAGATTTATATATACATTGAGCGCGATATCAAGGACAATACAACATGGCATAAACTGCACCTTTAAATATACCTTCAATCAATTTGCAGAAGTAGCCGGAGTCAGCATTCCGCTTTTCCTCGCCCCAAGAGATCATACTAGCTCTGAACGTCTCTTTGTACGCGCTGGCGGTTAACAATTCATTCGCGTCCAATTTATTCTCCTTCGCATATTGTAGTTTCAATGGTCCGGAGAGACGCATCATATGGCATATTGATCCTAACCTGCGAATATCATAGAGATCTTAGTATTAGCTGGGTAAACACTTTAGTTGATGATGGAGAACACCTGCTAAGGTGTATTCTGATACGATACACTGCATCTAATTCGACCTACGAATACTTGATCTACCATAAACTTGATCTGATGCAAATTCATGTCACTCAACAGAAAGTCGATACATCCAGTCATGCTAGCCGCTATTAACAATTGCGACGCATGCCGGTAACGAAGGTCACAGGTCAATCATAACGCGCACGAAGTGCGCTAATGATGTCTGAATTTGAGATTGAAGATACAAACTGAAGATACCATTTAAAAGTTGGGTCCACGCGAGTTTGACTTTGCTCGGGATGCCACTTGCGGTAGTGTGCATAAATGTTCTCAGCCAAAATAATTTGATCCCAAATTTTGATGTATGTCTAGTGGAAATTCGAATACACGTGAGTGTACAGTAAAAAAAGAGTCACTGATCTCGCTGCATGTTACTATTTGAATAAAATATGAATGTATATATATATATAAACATGTGTATATATGTACACTATGCGGAAACAGAAATGCCATAAAATATCTCCAATAATAAATACATTTACATACAGAGAAATATATATTGATATATATATATATACATATAGAAATATATACATACATATAGAAATATATATTAATATATATATATATATATATAAATATATATATATATATATATATGTATAAGTATAAGTATATGTATATGTATATATATATATAGATAGATAGATAGCTGAGACTG